TTCAGGATTCATCACAGTAACTTCAATCAATTCTGCTGGTATAGCATCTACCTCATCGATAGTACCAGCCACAGTTCCGTGTGCTGACCATGTATCATATTCAGTATCTGGATCCGCATAGAAAATAAAGGTCACAACAGTTTCATCAGTCGCTGAACCATCGAAAGTTGTTCCAAATATATCATTCTCTGTAGTCACCACAGCAGCGAAAGTCTCCTGGTTATATATAACACTGGCTGAAACAACAGTATAACCGCTGGCGGTAAGGGATGGAATCAACGTGAAACAACCGGCTGGTACTGTTACAGTGACCTTCCATTGTATTTGGCTTCCATCATAGCTGCCATCCAGTCCCGCAATTAAATTAACGACATTTTGTATTGTTATAGTACTCAACTCTGTGTATCCCTGAGTTATAGTAGCCGAGGGAAATACACCTGTGATAAAGCCTTCGACAGACCATGTGCCATATTTGGTAAATGGAGTAGCGTAGAAGATGAACTTCACAACTGTGACAGTATCTGTGGTGCCGCTGAAAGTCGTTCCAATAACATCAGAATTATCAGCGCTTGTTTCTAGCGATAGGTTTTCAGTTTGGGTGTCAACAACAGCGTCAACACTCTCGAAAGCATAACCATCAGCCGTGAGGGTTGGACTGAGAGTGAATTCACCAGATGACACTGTAGCGGCAACTGTCCATCGAATCTGACCATCGTCATAGTTTCCATCCAGAGAGGCATCGATGTCATCGACAGTAATGCTGACGCTGTTCAATGTTGTTGAGGTATAAGGATTCATACTATCTATGCTCACGAGGTTACCACTAATTGACCACGTTCCACTGAGACGTACTGGTGTAGCATAGAAGTAGAGGAATATGACATTGATTCCAACTGCCTCGTAGCTAAGAAACTGAACAGACACAACGGTATCAACAAAGCCACTCATTTCCAACGGAGTCAGCGTACCCTCCTCACCGACTTTAGCCTCAGCAGTGGTGAAGCTGTAGCCACCATTTTCAGTGTCCACTATAAGGGTTGGGTTGAGTAAAAAACTACCTGTAGCTGTAGCTGTCACTGTCCAGACAAGTTGACCATCAACATAATTTCCACTCACATCTGGTGAGAAATCCCTCTTTTCCAGTTTTTTCACAGTAGTATCAATCCCATCTGGTGGGAGTTCATCCGCGACCTCAAGAATGAGATCTTCACTATAAACTTCTCGGTGTGCTGCTGCAGACGATGAGCACGACACCCACGAAGTGAATAAAATGAGCACCAACAAATGAAATGAGAATTTCATAACACTTGATACTTGATGCTTGATATGGTTGCAATAGCTTGGGAGAGGCCATGGCAGGGGGGATAATTGTGGGTTCCCATGCTCCCTATAAATAGGTTTATAGCGGTTTCTTTAAAAGCTGAACCCTCCATCTTGCATACGCAGATCCTTTGCACGTTGGTTATATCTACTTCATGTTTCGGTATAGACTGCATTCTGTGCATCGATTGAGCTGCAATGACGCGCCTTGAAAGTTTATTCATATTACTAGTTGAAATTTAAAATGGGTATACAAAGCAAAGATGAGTGGATCTGATTCCTGTAATTCATATTTGTAATACTGTTTGTATGTTGACATTGAGTTACACCATTCCAGACACCTAGCTAATCAAAGAACTAGCGATATTACCCGAAAAACAGTTTGGAAGGTAAGGCGTATGATGCCCGATACCTTATGTACGAGTGCATGGATTCATAACTTCGTATTGGTGGTACTGAAAAAGCAGCAGTTGATAAGTACAAGAGATGTTTAATAACTTGAAATCTCCAGCCCCTCCAAAAGCACCAGGGATTTCCTTCCTGCAGCTTGCATCCAATTGTAAATTGGCAATTACCCGCTTGAATTGAGACCTCGTCCACTGAGACCTCGTCCACCACCCCAAGACAGGAGTTAGAAGCTGTTTGCTATTTTGAGTCTCATGTAGCCAGCTCTTGGTTCAGCACTCCACTCTGGATAACCTTCATCAGTTCTTATCATACGTCTATAACAAGGATTGGAAAGGACATATGGGCTGTTTCTATGCCTCTATGTTCATCGTTTAGATGCGATGAAGTTTTTTCAACAACCAAAGGAGCTTATTCCAAAAACTTACCGTCCACTTTTCGGAGTCCAGATTCTAGATGTATTCAAAATAACAACTCCAATATGTGAATCAATGTGTATTTCATAGCCATTCACTTACACACCAACTTATGTGTCCATTTGTGAATTAACTTCTAAAGACTTATCATGATCAACAGCAAATCATCACCAAAGCTGTTGTTCGTTGTTTCAGACGACTTAAAGAGAAAAGGTTCCCTAAGAATAGTTTTCTCGATCCCCATCTCTTGATTTCCTTTGCTTGATTCAAGGCTGCTGTAAATATTTCCACTTCTTGATAACGCAAGATAAGATGGACTATGTATGAAAAAGCTCCGTATTTAAACAAAGAACGTCTTCAACTGAAGCCTGGTTGTCCCAGGATTGTGCGAACCAGAGAAACATATATTGTCAGGTCTTCATAGAACTAAAAGTGGATTTTATACCTTTGCTTTTGTGAGGTCTCTGGAATCTTGACAAACACAGCCAACTGGAAGTGCTAGGAATTAGATGATGATTGAACTATTCCAAGGGGGTCATTTGAGAAAAAAAATCGACTCAACATAGAGCAAAGTGAATTTCCTTCCCAGTACACAGTATCAAAGCTTCCAAGCTAGTTTCATGTCACGAAAGTCTTCAACATCTTTTCACCTTACTATTTGGATTGTTGTTCTGGAGATTATAAAGACAATACTTAACAATGCTGTGATAGGGCAAGGACCTCATTGAGTGTCGTTCTAGCCGTGGTTGCTATCTGAGATGTTGATTAAGATATTTGAAAAAACAAAAAACAAGGATGGTCAACATTGAAGAACAAGGGATAGATGGCCTATGTATTATTGGAACGCTTGTTTATTCACCAATCAGAACGTTGTTGACATTGTTGCTGCTGTAGAGGAACCTAAAGGTGGAATTTTTACTCCAATTTGAGTCAATTATATGTCCCTCTAAACACAGTTTTGGGAATTCAAGAAGAGAGATACCACGGAAGGCTTCCCTATGTCCGTATTAACCGCACAGCATAAACAATTAACAAATCATGTTTTAACTTCCTCCGAAGAAGATGTAGCACATCTGCTGAGCCCCTCCCGCCTTTTCCTTCATCGTGCAGTGCCTGATGTCCGAGACTTGGAGAGCCCTGCATTGTGGAAGTAAAAATGTCAGATGCGTCGCTAGGCTTGTATCTTCAAATGAGTTATAATGTCCAAACACGCGTGTGTGATTCTTATTGCTCAATACACACCTTGTATATAAACGATATATACGCACATAGATATACATATTTCCATGTTCTCCTCAGCTACCAGTGTTTGTAAAGTATTTAAGAGCCTATCAGGTTGCAACTAACTGCCGGAGACACAGCGGTTTCTATGGCGACTTCACCCGAATTTGACTCCAATTTGCCGTCGATTTATCCAACTTTTCGGGGGCTTATGGACATGAAATTCGTCAGCCCTAAACCTTGTTTTACTAAACTTACTTCCATCTTCAACGTCCCCGGACCATAAACAAATTCCCCAAAAAGGTAATAATTGGCTTTCGGTAACCGTCAGGATTTCGCTCACTGAATTCCTCACACCTGGACACCACACAATTAGTGATGATGGTCCGCCAGGTAGATTTTCTCGAGCAGATTAACAGTCTTATCGCTGAGTGCACAAACCACATGAAGATGCTGTACCCACTAGTAACACATTGTTCTCGGCACGCGTGTCTCTGTTGTTCAGCTAAGAATGGGTGTACTATCAACACTGATCTCGAAGTTTGGCCATACTTTTAGCATGCCTTTAGATTTTGAGCACATGCTACTATATAAGGAGGCAAAATGAACCTTTAGCCTTTGCCAGAGGCTCCATAGAAACAGGTCCAAAGCAATCACTTGTCCTCTAAATATATATCAGATATCCTGTGTAATAAGATTCTCACAGGGAGAGAAAGGGGTTTCACTTGAGGATGTTGTCGTAGGAGAGAGATAGTTCACAAAGGTATTTTAGAAAGTGCAGTGGCTCCAGTTTTTGAAGCCTAGACACTTCAGATCGTGTTGATGATATGAATACATCGAGGAGGAAGATCATTTGTCCTTGGATTGAAAAAAGTCTCTTCACCATTTGCCACTTATTCAAAGTGAGTGCATGAAGCTTTCACAGTGGGATGCCATTCACGTGTGTTTACAGTCTTCAACTCATAATAATTATATTTCTGTGTGATCAATTAGCCTCAAGATTCAACTTTCATCATTGTCAATTGAGACTCCAAAGAATTTGAGATGAACTCTATGATCCTTTGATTATACGTATTTGACTGTACAATTTTCATCATTCCAAAGCATTGAATCATCAATCGTCTTTCTCTGTCCTGTAGCTCTGGAATATCTATATTCATTTCAAAATATGGAATCACCACATAATCCCTAAACGCCAATAGAACAATCTTCTTGGTGGATGGGACTATTTGGGAATCAGTTAGTTCAACCCAGTACGATTTGTCCTTAACTATCTTCCCTGACCCACTTAATTCCAAGTCAAGAGGTTCGAAAACTGCAAGTAGATAATGGTATATGTTTTTAAAGAAGTATTCCCATGTGTATGTCATTCTGAAGTAGTAATCATGTGCATTTGTAATTCCTTGATCAAAGCTCAATTCATTGTCCAATACGTTGAATCCAGTTTTAAAGAAGTCCATAATTTCACGGACCAAGTTTGTTGCAGATACGTTATTTCGTATTCTTAACTTTAGAAACGTTTCAATCATCCTCGAAACATCCTCAACGGGCAACTTCAATTGTAGTCCATTCTTAGAATCAATTTTGAACAGAGGCCTCAGGATATTTGTTACAGTGGCCCACAGATTATCAGCCATCTGATCACGTTCATCAAATGTTAAATGCCTCGTGTTTACGTCACTCAGCTGCTTCATCGCAGCTTCTCGATCCAATATCTGTGAAGGATCAAATGAGTACATCGTACTACCACTCTCAACAACCTTAGAGTTTGAAGAGCTGGACGACAAGACATGATGACCATGCCCAGTTCGCTTCAGGAAAATACTCGACGCAGTTGTACCGCCACTAGTTATACTAGCACCCGCAACACTGGAACTATCTCCCATCGCAGTGCCTTCATGTATAGCATTACCCTCAGTCAGGGTTCGGCTTCTCTTCAACTCCTTAGTCTTTGTCTTTGCAAACATCTTAGCCCTGGCCAACTTACTCTCAACCTTCCCCAAAACAGGGCTCGTCACTGTGGAGTTGCTCGAGCCGCTATCTGGACTATTCGCTGAAGAACCACCATTTGCAGCGCTTGGCTGTGATATCGAAGTGAAGCCAACGTTCGACAGTGTATGTGTGATCGAGCTAAGCGTGGAGTTTGAGCTGTTTCGATTTAAATAATTGAACGGGCTGGTCTTGTTGTTATCCTTATTGCTCTGTGTAATTGTCGGTGATCTAACGTCATCCTCCACTGGCGCCCTCGTATGCGTGAAACTAATGGTCTTAGCCAGCGTCGATGTACTCTTCTTCCTGTTCAGCTTAGTGTTCAGCTCCATCCTTCCTCAAGACACAACAGCAATAACAGCAAATCAAGGTATTGTCAACAATGCTACGGGAGAATGTTATATATCAAAATGACACAGGCACAGGCACAGGCACCAGGCACAAAAGCGGTAGGGGCAAGATGAAAACCTCGGAACTCCTCGGGGTATACTTCCGAGGACATTATTGGCATGTATATAGGGGAGGATGATATTGAAGGTGACGATATAGGTATGTGTTTGGAGTTATATAAACACTTGGAATTGTGTCTGAGTAGCATGTATCGTGTATTATGTCAGTATCGTGAAACTTGTTCTCTAAAATGCGGTTCTGTAACGGTAGATCTACTATAGAAAGAGAGAAAGAGAGCTTAGAATACTGCTCCTTGGCACACGAACAGACGATCATCGTGTTTTCTGCACCAGTTGACAATTGATTTGGCACTCTTGACCAAGATGTCCTTCTTAACTATACTCCCTGTGATTAGGAAAAGTTCATATTTTGGTGTTGTCCACCCAATTCCTGCTAGCTGAGTGGAGTTAGTATGTTCCCATCTCATATATGAGATGCTAATCCTGTTATTCCTGTTCACACTGGAATGTAACTCCAAGTAGTATTTGTAAAGGTGCTTGGCGTTGGCCAAATTTGATTGTGTTGTGGGCATAACATACTGCAGATGTCTTTTCGATTTATAGATGAAATGGTACACTAGAGGAGCAGGAATATCCACTGTAGATATACCTCTTGATATCGACATTTCAAGTGCGTCAAAGATCTTCTTTTTATTCATATCTTGGAGCATCTGGTTTGCGATATCTCTAACTTCAAAAAATGCACCTTTGTCAGGACTGACCAGGATCAGAAACACCTGTCCTATGTACTTGACATATGCATAAAGAAACCCGTTAGGGTTGAATTTTGGCAAGCAGATAGGTAGCCACAGCTCTTCATCATCCGCTTGATCTTTGCTTTGGTTCTCAACCGTGAGAAATAGGAGTTGTAAATCCGTTGTGTGTAAAGTATGTGTCTTTGGCCTCATAATGTTGATCAATTTCCCCCCAGGTGCAGCCAGTACGCCGTAGAGAATGTCTTTACTCCTATTGTGTAATAGAGAATGACAAATCTTGTCCCTGATCGTTTTCTTCAGCTTGATGCTTTGTAATGCACCCAACATTATGCCAGGGTTGAAACTTGACATTTCTTTACAGAGATAGTCCAAACCTGAAACGCATGAGCGGCCCAAATGCTTTCCCAAATCGAAACTTTCTTTATTCTGAAATGATCTAACAATGTGTGGTTTACTAAAAGTGGACAGCAAGAAGCTGTATAGTAGATCCAACTGGTTGAGAAGATCAGAGTCTTCTTCTTTCAATTTTGAACATGCCATGAGTATAATGGGAGATTCGTTCAAGATGGTGAACCTTGTGGAGCCAGCAACAAAGGATTTCAGCTTTGATCCATCATGAAGGAAAGAATCAACAAATGTCTGTATAATGCCACCGTATCCAACCGTTTTCTCCTCTTCTTTCAAGAGATTTGAGTATATCGGTTTGCCAGCGTTTGACAACACAAAGAACTGTTTGGAATCATCCAACTCCAGACAATCATCTTCACCAAACTGCAATTTCAAACCGGATAACGAAGATTGGTTCATTATGTGTTCTAGCCTATCCACAAAGCTATGCCCATCTTCACCATCGTCATAGTCATCATCGGTGTATATGGTCAACGTTGGTGTTGTCCTTATGGACATCGCATCTGTGCGATCCAGGAGGAAGTCATCTTCATTGCTATATCCCATAGACTGGGAGCGTTCGTCCATATTAGAGTGCGAGCTCTTGGGCAGAGCCGACGGCACTGTCAGGGCATTCTCCATGGATATACCAGTGGTTGCGTGTGCCTGTAATTCTGACAGCTTTATGGTCTTTGTAGTGTTGCCAACTGTCAGCTGTGATAATGATGGCATCCTCTGTGGTTTCACCGGCAGCGGAGGTGGCTGCAAATCACAACAACTCTCCAAATCCGAAGAGTCCATAGTTCAATCACTCGAAGGGCCACTGTCTCTGGGTTTAGAGAACCGCGTTGTCCTCTCAAGTGCACCTGATGAGCGTGAATTGCACTAGCGAGTTGTGTGTATATACCTATAAATATACACCCGAACACCACCACATAGGCTTTCCCGAATAGGCAATTTCCCGAATAGGAACTCCCGATGCATTTGGGTCTCTATATATGAAAGCGCTCCGTTGAACCCAAAGTGTAAAACCACTGGAACGGACGAGGGCGCAAACATATTGGAACATACGTACCAGGCTTGAACTGGCTCACATGTATTCCTCTTTTGCAAGCATTTCTCATGGGATGTGCTTTTGTTAGGTAATAACCCCCGGCGACTGGCCCGGGAAACTGTTTTGGAAAAGCCCCAACTGGGGCACCAGAGTTGAGGCTTAGAACAACTACGCACAGGTGGGAAAGTATAGAAAGCCAGCACATTGCTTCTCCCAGGTGTGACCGTGTTGTGCAAATAGGCTTGCTGGCTCTGTCGATCTCGGTTTACACTGAGATGTTCTCGTTTGGCGGAACCTTTTAACGTTGTGCCATCCAAACCGTGCGTTGTATTAAGTGTATGAAGTTACTGAAGGTACATCGGTGTTTATGGTGGAGCCCAACAAAAGCGATCTTCCGCTCACACCACAATTATCGGCAATTCGGGCTCCATACAATCGTCCATGTAAGGTGCCTGAGTTCCTGGATACCGGGTGCTTTGTTATGTAGCAAAAAGGGGTGTCCATGGCTGTTCTTGTGCTGCCTTGTCGGCTTATGACGCACATGTAACATCGATCACGGGCTAAAAGGATGTATCTCCATTCCAGCTGGACGAATGAGGAGTTGAGTGAAACACCGTTTGCACCAGAGACCGCCCATGATGGCGCAAAAATTCACCAACCATCACCAACTGCCACTCAATTTCTGAAGCCTACGTGTAGACACAGCCCATCCCTCACTCAACAAAAAGATCATCACACCGTAGAGCAAGCATTGGGCGTAGAGTTGAGAACAACACACACACACACACACTCTCTCTCTCTCCAACAATTGGCAGGCTGTCTGACCGTACATCATTTAAACCACACAATCCTCATCTAATGCGTTGATGGCATTTTTAAGGCTGCCGTAAATCTACTAAGGAGACACCGCGTAGTGCTTTGAATTCTAGAACGTGTAGAGGCGTCGCACAGCCCTCCCGCAAGTTTTCATCACCGCTATATATATTGTCATGGTTTTTTGATTTTTTTGTTATTGTTGTTCTTTCAGCTTTGCTCTTTTACATACTCTCTCTTTTCTGGTTTTGATCCATGGATTCAGTCCAATAGACAGGTTGGAGGCTCTAGATAATTACACGGTGTGGATGAAGATGCTGAAAATTCCGTTGAGGGTGAAAAGTTTGAGGTCACTGATAGGTGCTGTCCTCGGGACTTTGCTGTTGTTACTCACTTGTCTTCAGTTACGGTACTCTCTCACTACAGATGACGTCGCAATGGTGACGGCTTCTGATGATAAGTCAGGGTCAACAGCGAAGACACCTGTCACGGCAGGTGCAACTACGGACGTAACGGCAAGCGTGGGATTAGCAATGTCGAATTTACACGACGACTACGATTCAGATGCATATTACCAATCCAAAGATGGGTTTAAGATCATACTAGCTAATCCTGAAGTTGATGGGCAGGTCTACGTCGACCGAATGCTATCGTCGGACGATGATATCCATGTGATTTCCGATTTTAAGGCGGACGATTACTACACTAACAAGAAGCTCAATGACTACACGAATAGAGATGGATTGGATTTGGAGCTGAATAAGCAGTCTGCTTTTAAGCAGTTTGTATCCGAACTGCTCGAAAAGGTTGTTGAATGTAGACCTCCAATAGGTGCTATAAATAACCCAGGTCATTACAACAGCTCGAATGTCTATAAAAATGTTCAACATCATAAGATGCCAGTTTTGGATGGTAAGCTACGTGAGAATAACGGCGCTGATCCAATAAGGAGTAAAGAATATTTGCGAAGTTATCTGACTTTGAGTGATGAGGAGTTGGACTTTTTAAAGGGTTCTCATCACAAAGCTATGGATCTTTTACCGGATGGCTTCCCAAGTGAAGTCTCGTCGGAAATCAAAGGCAGAGGTATATTATACGCCGGTGGTGGTAGTTACAACTGGCTTGTATTGCTTTCATTGGTTATGCTTAGACAGACTGGTTCCAAATTACCAGTTGAAGTATTTATCCCAAAGGATTCAGATTATCAATCCGATTTGTGTAACAGAGTGTTCCCAGTGTTTGGTGCTAAATGTCTCCTCATGGAGAACTATGTTGATGTGAAGAAGTACAAATTTAAAGGGTATCAGCTGAAATCAATGGCATTGTTGTTAACCTCATTTGAAGAAGTTTTATTATTAGATTCTGACAACATTCCTTTGAAGAACCCGGATTACATGTTCATTAATGAACCTTACAAGTCTAATGGAATGATTGTATGGCCAGATTTCTGGAGACGCTCGACAAGTCCGTTGTACTATGAGATTGCCAACATTCCGGTTAATGAGACTCATCAAGTGAGATTCTCCTACGGAGATGAGCGTGATCACCCACAGCCTCTGGAGACTCATGAAGACTATGAATGGAAGATCTCCTACCACGATTTGGAAGGTACATTGCCAGAAGCATCGTCAGAGACTGGGCAGCTTCTGATTAACAAGAAGACACACGCAAAGGCTATCTTCCTGTCTTTATACTACAACTTCTTTGGACCTGATTACTACTACGGGTTGTTCTCCCAAGGACAAGCAGGTGAGGGTGACAAGGAAACCATATTAGCAGCAGCTCATAAGTTGGGACTTCCATATTACCAAGTTCAGGAATACATTCGTGAGTTTGGAGAATCCACTGGGGAATATGAGTTTCATATAGCTGCAATGGGTCAGTATGATCCAATACTGGATTACCTACAAGGTCAGGAGCCTGAGAAGTATAAATATGACAAGTGGGTCTACGACCGAAAGAAGAACAACTACCCTATGCATAAGTACAAAGAGTCTGAGACGATGTTCTTGCATTGTAATCAGCCGAAGCTATACCCATGGCAAGTTGATGGTAATGGGTTCAGAAAGATCCACGACACTGCGGGTAACAGAAGAAGACTGTATTCTCATTATCTTCACGAGGAGTTAGGATTTGATGCTGAGGCCAAGATTTGGGAATCCATGCAATGGCTACTGTGTAACCATGGGGATATAAGCTTCAGAGGTTCACGGGATTCAAACAAGTGGTGTGCTAAGGTAACAGAACAGCTGGATTGGTTGAAAATGCATCCAGAAGATGTTGAAATTAAAGGAGAAGAAAAATCAAATCGTTGATAAAAGGTAGAGTTGCAACGCCATTTCAGCATTTTATGGTTATAATTGTATTTAAGAGCAAAGGCAGATATGGCTCTGGGGGCTGGGGTAAGGCTTTAAAATAAGGATGAAGAGATTGCATTTGAATACTTCTACTTTGTAGTACAAGCTGTGGAACAAATTCTGCCAATAGCCATAACATCTATCACACAAGACTATTGCTAGTGATATGGCGACTATTCATGCTCCGAAATTTGGCTTAGAAAACCTAATACTAGCAGCAGTGCATGGCATGCTTGGTGCTCTATTCCATCTGGCACATGTAGTGGGCTGTGCAAAATCTTCCTAGAACCAACAACAGAAAAATTGGCAGTCGCATACCAACCTCAAACATGCACAACCGTTGACTCAAATTGCTTTTGTTAGTTAGTGTATATTCTCGATATCTCATTGGTGGTAACAAACCTTTTGTGCTGTTCCCGGCTTCTGTAAGGCCGAGTTCAAAGGGCTTTGACCTTTCACCGAATCACTGAAAACTTGACGAAGCCTTGAAGGCACACAGTTGCTTATGTTCGTATAAATTTGATTGTTTTAGCAGATGTACTTAAACTAGGGGACCTGGTGAGTATGGCTCCGTAAATTTCTAGCATCTTAATGAGTTGTAATTGAGAAGGTTGTTCCTGAATATGTTGTAATGCCACTAAACGTTCTAGATTGATATGTATATGGTGTGGGCTGCTGCTTGGCAACTGAAATGAAGGCTGCTCAATATGCACGTGAGCCGTATGATTTATGTATGTCATTGAATAGAGTAATATGCCTTGCACAAGAACCAATATTTGGTTTGTTCTATGGTTAGCGTGGCTTATAAGCATACTTGAGGCTGGATAACCATGTTTCACAAAGTAATTGAAGGGTGCACTGGCTGATGCTCGCAAGGACTCGATGTATGTTGACGCCAAATGTGATTTACTCCAGTCACGCGCTTAGTAGGTAAGTTGATAGGCTCTGATTCGAACATCTCATGCAGGCTTTTTACCAGTGTATAAACTATTTAACGTTTATGCCAAGAGGCTTGGGTTTGGCAAAAGGATCACTAAAATTAAGAGACAGCATTCGTGCTATCAACTTCCAACTTGTATAACTTACGAGCTAGAGCTTTCAATGTTCGGGACCGGCTTTTGCTTCATGCAATTCAAAGATCTAGTGTTATACTATGCACTTATATGCACAACGCATTCTTTCGAGGAAGAAGAACAGAGCAGCCCCAAATTCATTCATGATAAAACTGTGAGATGTTGACTAATCTGTGGACAACGGAGGCTTGGGAATACCTTGGTCTCCTTGTTCATCCACCTTTTGATATTTAAATCCCTAGTTTTGTATACATCGAGTTTGAGTTACATCTTTATCTGTTGTTAGGAAT